ATATCCGAGACCACTACTAAGGAAACTCCTGCCTGGGAATCTCTGCACACATCAAGTGTAGGTGTCACTAGGTCTCAAAACATTAAGCAATTTACAGATATTGTTAAAGCCGAAAGATACCTTTTCTTTAAGTATAACATTTAAGAAGGCGTTATTTCCTACCAAAAGAGTACAAGAAATAACTTTTTGTCCATGTCTTCCATATAATATATTTTCATTTATAAAGGCGGTTAAAATAAATGATGAAAACGCAAACAAATTAGGTAGTCACTTTTTACAGGGCGTGCATTTCGCTTGCGGTCAGAACGAAGCTCATCAAAAAGCCGGCATCCTATCGTGGCTGAAATGACTTCAGAATAGACTACACGATAGTCATTATTACAACCTTAATACCGATTAGGGAGAAAGTATTAATATTTCGTGTATGTCGGCATGTTACACGAATTGTTGGCCGTACTGTAGTTCCTCACAGCTGTTATGCAGGTTTGCGACTGACTAACCGTACCTAGCATGCCTTGCCCACATATTATATTTAAGGTTTTTTTCGAACTTTTGGAAGTATTTTTCATGACGGCAAAGTTTCGTTCTTCAAATGCCCATCAATTTTAATTTTGCTAAACAGAGGCAGTTTGTTCAGTCGATTGCCACTAATCAGCAAATGTTTTTTGGACCGAGTTCCGGCAGGTTTTCTTCAAAGGACACGGTTCAGATCAGGCATCAATTACGAAAAGGCAGGCTCAAGAGTTATCGACCCAAGATTGACAAAACTCCGAGTGAACGCGCGCTCGCGGCTGCTCAGAAGTGCTCAAGCACTTGTGTCTGTCTTCCCCAGTCTGGTCAATCACGTTTAAGGCTGACTCACAAAAGGCTTCACTGCGACGGCCGCCATGCTCGCACGCTTGAGATCGCCCCCCCCCTTCAACGTGGTTTTGCACTCGTCCAACTGTCAACCTCCTCCTACCTCCCTTACCGCTGTACAAAGTACACTCTTGCACGTGGTGTCTCATTTATTCTCTTTCCACACGGAACCGAGACCAAAAATCACAGTGAGTTCAACTTATTTACTTAAACTAGTACGCTCAGCGCTTATAAAGTTGAACATCGCTCCACATTTTCAGCTGGCGTTATGATTAATAAATACCCTGTCTTCCACTTTACTGTTCAACAATT